AAAAATATCGAATTATTCTTTGTAGCAGATATCAATCACCATCAATCTGACAGAACTTCACTTGTATAATATATATAAACGGAAGTTAACTTTTTTCAGGTGGAGATACAATAATTTTAATGGCAACTTTCAACCGTTTTATAGAAGTCCAGTCGGGGTCAAATTTTGAGGTAAAGTGTTTGGGATAGGTCTCAATGTAAGCAATAACAAGTTCTGTGCGTGCTGAAAAGAGGACAGCACATTATCTTCATCGCATGCATCCCATAAATACAATGTATACAAACGTTTTTATTATACATATATGAAGATCAGGGGTGTTTCTTTTTTATTTAAACGGATACAGCAAACGTAAAAAAATTGGGAAATCCACGGGTACATAAATCAGAAACAACAAATTCGCCTATTAAAACACACTATGATGAGCTTTATTGAGTAAACACCAACCTAACGTGGGATTAATGAGCGACATCAATATAAACAATACTTCTCCCAAGAGCTTACATGTTTTTGCACCATTGTTATAAAATATCATTTGGTTAAGTAGAGGTACTGATTGTGTAATCAATATCACCTAGTGTGGGCTAAAAAAGAGCACCATTTGCAGAAAGCTAAAAATACAACAAAATTGAATAAATGAATAAGGCAATCTATCGCACATGGTATACGGTTTCTTAGAAAACGACTAAAATGTAGATATATACAGTGCAATTTCCTGTCGACCTTATCACAGCAGTATCTGGTCAATCAGCAACCACAGTATGAATCACAGCTTAAATTATACGTGTGTAGATAAATTCAAGGAATACAAATGCATCCTGACAAACTAGTTTTAGAATACGGAATATTATTTATGTCCCGTGACATTATTTGTTTGGTCGAAGAGGAATACCACTGATAGTATTAGATCTGGCGCGAAACGGAACCTTCTCCTCTGACTCGTTGAAAAATTCGGCAATTTTTTGTTGCACTCGCGCCATATTTTCTTTTTCTTTCTGAATTTGTTGCAAGACTGGCGAAGGTAGACTAGAGGTCTTCAAATCAAAGTTTTTAGTCTTTGATATCCTGGGGGTAAGAGATCGTCGTGGTCGAAGGTGCATCGTTGACGATGGGATGTCCGGTGTGCTGAAGTTTTCTATAAGTTTACTTACATCTGGGGTACTATGGGAACGGGGTGGGGAGATTCCCGGTGTAATCTGTGGTAGATGAAGATCTGTTGGTACCTGAAGCGACTGAGTATCTGGAATAGTCTGCACGCGCCGCATGGGAGGGCGCGGGGAGCGAGGTGTTAATGCACGTTGTACGGAAATAGGCGCCAAGGCAACCTCTGTTGCAGGATGATCAAGCAATTTACTGTTACGGCGTAACTGGGGGGAATTTGGCAGTGACGAAGGCGCAGGTTGGGGCCATTGCAAAGACGCTAAGGTGTATCCGGGCGACGCTGCTCTGGGTAGAGGGGATTGGCTACGCGACAGACGGCGGGTGTCACACATTAATGTCGTAGCATGTGTCGGAGACGGCGATCCTATTCTCGTTACAAAAGAAGTAACAAACGTGACTTCAGGTAGATTTTCATCTGATCCACTTGAACTGTCACTTTCCAAAGTTATTTCAATTCTAGGTCTTTCAGAATTCCGTTTCTTTTCGTTTAATCTTTCCAGGGAGGATCTTAAAGCTTCCTCTTCCTTTTCCATAGACCCAACTACCGATTTACGCATTTTGTCCAGTCTCTTTAAATGCAACTGGCCTTGCTTTTCTTCGGCATTAAAACGATTAAAGATTTGTTGCCGTTTTATCATCGTTCGCCTCGTTTTACCCTCTGGATAGGAATGGTCTTCAAACGCAGAACTTGCACCGACCATCTTGCTGTCGCTGTGTCCTTCTGTCATCAAAATTACAGCGTGTTCTACTGTCTGTTTCCCTTTGAGCAGTGGAAAATGAGCAAATACTGGTAACGGTACTCGTTCTCTGCTTGCGTTGGGTTTTATCACCACATCTGCATAACTAGCCTTCGAGTCTCACTTTTATGCTACCCCACATTCTGCCAGCACGGATCGTCTTTCCTCGCTTTATTGAATTCAATACCAGTTAATTCCGATTATAGCGCACCGCAGCTCAAAAAAGAAACATTGACTGTATCAAAGTGGGCGAAAGCTGGCATTGTATTGGCACGGTGAAATAAAATAAGGTATTGGTCCGGCCCAGGATACAATAATAAACAAAATATGACACAGCATTTTGAGGTTTCAGCTCAGATTTCTTTACATTGTCGTTTGATCTTGTTTTAGCCCGTACTATGTTTATGAAATAAGTCATAATTGAAACAAGCGTATTTAAATTAAATTTATTTCTTTAGAACATTGAACGAAATGCATTAAAAGAGTTACTTGATTTTTGCCCTTCCGCCTTCAAGTCATTGAATTAAGTTGAAAATATTTTATTTTTACCTCCAAGATAAAAACCGAAATTGCAAAAGATCACGCACTGCATTTCCTTGCGAAAGACAGACACTGAAATAGGTAGTGAGCCATGATGTGGAACATTGTCCGTGAAAGCGAACAAAGTCCGCAGTAATAAAAGAGACAAATAATCACATATTTAAAGAATATTGATTATATAACTTCCGATAAATGATTCTCATCAACTACCTAGCTAAATACCTGTTTCAAAATACATTGCCTGAGATCAGTGTATTTGCACTCTAATTTACTTTAGACCATCAAAACGTGCATTCACATTTCAATAAGAAATTTTAAAAAAATTATCTATTTCTCACATGAACATCATGGAAGTGATATTTGGCTGTAGTGGCATTACTCAAAAGATAGTAAATAGGTAAATCACCTCTAATCCGTACAGTAGAGAAAAGTGCCATGAATTAACAAGAGACATGTCCGAGAACATCTATTGAAAAAACCCATCTGTGGTCTTGGTAGAGGGTACTTTTTTTACATCATCTTCCAACAATCTTTCTTTTATTGAAACATGGATCCTAGTGATATTTCACTGACTGAAAACGAACGAACACAAACTGTTTATCAAATACAGCTAGAGGGGCGTGTCGAGTCATAAACTACATTTACAATCGTTTTTAAGTGTGATCCAGCTCCATATGCAGAGACTAAATAGGAATTTTTATTTTTAACATTATTTTATATATCAAGTATATGTTGTGCAAATTATCTAGGTATTTTAAAAATAGTTTTGGTAGTCTATGGCAAATGAATAAAATATCCCAAAGAAATTTACAATTAAATGCCATTTGAAAGTATTAATTACAGTGGGGACAAAAAATTCAGATGTCATACGGAATAAGAATTCCAATCTCCATTTTGATTATTCCTGAGCATTCTTTTTACGTTTATCGATGAAATGATTAAATTACATGGTGTAATTTTATGAAGATTGATAACCACTTGCAAGCGTACAACACACAGAAAGCAGAAAATGCACTGAAAATACAGAGAACTTATTTTCGTCTTATTCAAAAGAAACTCAATATTATGTCACAGGGTTTGTTCTTCATACGCAGCCACATTAAGAGAACTTGAAACATATGGAAGGAACGACTTTTGGTTCACCTGAAATGGTAAATCTGGGGAGAGCATACAAAGGTGAAAAGAAAATATCCAGCCTTGTTGCAAGAGAACGTTCGATGTGGGTCAGGTACTTGGATCTAATTTCTTTGCATTGAAGAACACAAAAAAGTCAATATATTATTATCCAAAATACATATCATGAAAGATGTATTTAAATGAAACTTTTTGTCGACCAAATGCAATTATAAAGTTTCAAATAGCCTAACTTTGAGAATTACCAAAGGGCAAAGGACATCGTTTCATATTTCCGAAAGATGACATTTGAACGGATTTTCTGCTTCCTTTCTGTGCTATTCATAGCCCTCGGTCGTTTTCGACAACCTGTCATACAAATGATAGTATTGCGCTCGCAACAATAATGCGACAAGCATTATTACGTCATTTGGCGCACTTTTACAAAATGGAATGATGGATAAGTGGGTCACATTTACGACCAGGAAGAGTTGCAATTTTAAAGCTCTGGAACCTTATGGAGTGATTAATTTGGTTTATCCCTTGGTAATGGTATGTTGACTTTATTTGAATAACAGTGGTATAAGAAACTGGTAGAGGCGGTTTGTATGCGTTATAGGGAATCCATGCTTGCTTCACATGTAGCTAAAAAGGAGTATGTCATGTGTATAACCACTTTTCCCAAATTCTTTAAACAAGTTCGACATTCATAATTGTATTACACCAAATGAGAAAAGTGTAAGCAGTGTTCTGACTCCTGATTCTTAGTACTAGTAATGACAATCGACACACTTGGGTGCTATAAAATAATTATTGACAGGTTTTCTCTTTGGGATCTAGTGTCATACAAATCTAGAAGATATAGCTAATATCTTGGCAAGCTCTTCCTTCTTGCGTAGCACTGATGGTATAGGTACATTTATTCTTGAGCCCATGGGAGTGTCCTCTTCATCTATCAACACAACATTGTTACTGTCAAACTTTGGAATCATATGCTTCTGCTTCTGTTTACAACCTACAATTATTCCTTTAACCTTCTGCTTTTCAAGTGCCAGTAAAACTTTATCTCCAATACGTGCAACTCCTTGTTTATTATAAACATGAACTATACGAGCTGGTTTGCCAGAGGTCTTGGCATTTTTGCCTAAGTCACTGTTGTCCACTACATTGACCCGTGACATATGTCTCAGTTCACACAGTGGGAGGCTTGTGCTGAAAGAGATACCATAATGTCAGTATAATATAAATTACCTTTTTTATGTGTATGTCACGTAGAGAAGCACAACAATTTTAAACACAAACTTTGGACATTTGTCTTTTCTCACTCTGTAAAGCTATCCTAAAACTAACAAAAAGCATATCAGCTTTACAGTGTGTTGCATGAGATTGTGCTGAGTGTGATAGGTGTGGCAGGGACAATTTATTGCAAAATGCACAATTGTAAGTATCTAAAAAAATAAAATATTGAAACAACAATGGAAAAATTTAGAAACTTAAAATTTAAAGAAGAAAAAAAAAAAATTATTCTGCAGTACAATTCAATCTATAATACCTGAAATGCCTTGTGTTGTTTCTGGTACAGAGGCCAAGGGTAACTGCCCTAGAGTGGAAATATCGTGCAACTGCACTCATCTTCTTTGCTGCAATACCTACAAATAATGACAACACATAATAGCTATGTGAATTAACATAATATGTTATAAACATGTAAGTGTGATATAAAGGGACATCTCAATGCAATAACACCAGTAGGTCAAATAATGGCACATTTTAATCAACCAAGAAGAAAAACTACTGCACAGAATTTTTTACAATGGAAGTTGCTTACCCATGTCATCATTCAAGAGTTTGCTTCTAAGGAAAAACTTACAAAATCTCTCACGTCCTTTTCACATTCAGAGGTCTGTTTTATGATTGGTGGACTTCAATGGGTATATATATATTAATTCATGGCTGCATAACTGATAGATGATTACAGTAGATGGATCTTACTTTATTCAATCTGGTTGGCTTTACAGCCGTGTGCAACTTCAAAAGATGTTATGCAGTTATGGTATGCATCTCTATCTATTATGTATTAGCACAAACAGTTCATATCAACAAATATACCTTGTAGGAGTGCTATTGCATGAAACTTCATGCTAACCTCAGTATAAATACAATGTCATTAAGTAGTGGTCAATATTCAGAGGATTGCACAAAAATTCATGCGTTCATTAACATCAAAGACTGTCTACGGGAAATTTGTTGGCTTTATAGAGTGCAAGCTGAGGAGACAAAAGGTAAGATAACGGTAAAGATTTGAGAGCCCCTGCATCATGGCAGATGCACAAGCTGATCATTATTTTACAGTTTTTGACACCAATATCTTTCATGCATAAGCACATATCAAATGCAAGAATTTTCATGCTAGATACTGGTAAGATTTAACCTGGAAGTACATACCACAGACAATCATGAATAACAGGAAGCAATTGTTGTTTGATAACACAAACTACTGTAAAAAGTGTCCCCAGAATATCAGATTTCTACCAAATTTTACACTGAATGCAACTTCAATACATGTACTGCTGCTTCAGGAACCGACCTGTGTTAAAACATGACTAAAACAGCTGGTACTAACACAGACAATGTTTCAGAATCCAAGAAAGATGAATTTTTTTTAAAGTCACCAAAGTATTTTACGTCAGATTTTTGAGGAAATGTCTTACTGATTTTTTTTACCTACCCCCACTCCATTTGTTCCCCATCCAGTCAATGTTAGGAGGTCAATTTCTACTGCATAAGCTTTGGAAGATACATATTATCAGTGGCAAAAAATTCGGTACTTTTGTAGTATACCCCCCACCCTGTAACTTTCTGTAACTTTCACTTTTCATAGTTTTTTTACATTTTCTTGATCATCTACGTCAAAGCTGTTGAAAGAAAATACTTTTGTAATTGCCTGTAGTCTTTTTATCAGTTTTAATCACGTTTTATCCAGCTCATTGAAATACAATGTGAAAATGTACAATGCACCTGCAGTCAATAACTTGCCGCGTTTTCGTTGGCTAACTCTAAGGTAATTTTATGTGAACATAAGATTTATACATTGTATACTTGGACTTCCTCTGTGAAAATATTATGAGCTACTTGTTCACATAAAATTACCTTAGAGTTAGCCAACGGAAACGTGGCAAGTTATTGACTGCAGGTGTATTGTAGATTCTCACATTGTATTTCAATGGGCTGGATTAAACGTGATTTAAACTAATAAAAAGACCACAGGTAATTACAAAAGTATTTTATTTCAACAGCTTTGATGCAGATGAACAAGAAAATGTAAAAAAAAACTCTATGAAAAGTGAAAGTTACAGAAAGTTACAGGGTGGGGGGTATACTACAAAAGTACCAAAAATTCTACCACTATGTTCACTTCACATCATGAACATTATTTCATCTTGGAAAAATTCCAGAATCAAAATTCAAACTGTATATTCATACCTAGCTCCTTTGTATATTATGAGACAAACTTCAAAGTCCTATGGCATATTAAAGGGGGTGAAAATCAAGTGGGGCAACTTTTGACTAATTTTTGAAATGGCATCTGAAAAAATGACACTGACAGATTAAGTGTCACTAAAACTTGTATAACTTTTGAGATAAATGACATAGCTAAAAAAATTTAACGGCTTATTCATACTTAAATATGTAGCTATCTGTATTGAATTTCAAGGTTCTAGCTTAACTAAGAAAAAAATCATGTGCGGACCTTACCCTAGTACCGTAAGACAACCTAATGGATTCTTTATTGATACACCTTCACAAATAAGGTACAATCAAAGACAATTACATCTAACTACAACAGTACAAACAAGTATATAAATAAATATACATGATTTCAATGTTTACATGTAGCATAGGGACAGTCGGTCATCCGGGCACTTTACCTTAGCAACCGGCATCTGGGGTAAAACAAATCGGGCAACATGGCGGGTCGCATTGACTTCTATGTAAAAGTTGGCAGGCTTTATCCGAAGATATCATACTTCACAATGCCTGACCACTTGTGTCAGTGAAGTTGAGATATTTACCTGGTTGATTTCCTTTAAAGGCTTTTGTAATTAGCCGCTGCACACCTGGTTAAGAGATAAAATCGGCCTTAACTGCCGATTGTTATCTGTGAGCGGGAATCTTACAGTAGTAGATTGCAAAGACTCATTTGCTTACCTGGATAAGCATAATATTCACATCTCTTTGAAAAGAAAACCATATTGAAGCAACTGATATTATCAAGGAAGGTTTCAATTGTACTAATAACTAGTCAGAAAGGTTTCATTTATGCTAGATCCTGAAATTTGATTTACCTGTTGACTGTTTCGTCTGTTCACTCTGACAGACTTGGTCACAACTGAATTACCTGTTCAGGTGAAGGTGAACAGGTAATTATCTCAGTCTTGATGATGACTTGTTAGCCCCTCTCGCCCCCTCCCCCCAGGGTGGGTTTGAGAATGTCGTCATACACATGGGACAGCTTGTGTGCTCCTTCATCTCTGTTCATGGTGTGTTTCTTCCTTCTTATCCAGATTNATTCCATGTACCGATCCCGGTGTGGAGCGTGGGGTTTCCTGGGTTCGTTTCGCCGGTTGGTCAGAGTCGGGCACAAATAGCACGTTGTTGATATACAGTTTATCATAAACCATTACCGCTTTCTTTTGTTGTCTCTTTGCTGACTTATAAAAGGGATAGAGCATCTTTCTTTTCTCGTTAATTTCACGGGGGTATTGTTCATTTATCCCATATTTATTGTTTTCTGTACCTTTGAGTGACACCGCTCTTCTCTTAATGTTGTCTCTTACTTTAGAGTTGGCAAATTTAGCTATAATTGGTCGTGGTTTACCTGGTGTCTTTTTCCCCATTCTGTGTACTCTATGGAAAGCTGGCATGTGTTCCACCTTCATTTTATTTTCCAGAAAATCGACCAGTATGGTTTCTGTGTCTTCCTCGTCTGTTTCATCAATCCCCGTGAAAATAAGGTTATCGCGCATGCTTCGGGCCTGTAGGTCTACTTGTTTTTCCTTCAGTGTTACGATTTCGTTTTTCAGGTGTGTAAGGTTATCTTGTACTGCATGCGTCGATAACTTTCGTAGTTTTTGCCTCGTCCCTTTCAAGCATTTTCATATTTTTCTGCATCTCTTTCAGTTCAATTCGGTTGGTTTCTGATATTATGTTCAAAGCACTGAGTCCATCTTCAATTTCCCCGACCTTATCTTTCATACCTTTCATCTCGTTTTTCATGGTCTCCATCGCATTCTCCATGTAAGTCAGCCGGCGGTCTATTACGTCTAGCTTTTCCAGTCGTGCATTTACCTCGTCAACCTTTCTAGTAAGATTTCCAATCAATCCATACAATTCTCCTGGTTGGGGCACTGGTGAAACATATCCCGGGAATTGTCCCTGGGGAGAAAACTGCAAAAACCCTTGTGGCTGCGGTGCTTGGCTCATTGTTGAGCTCACACGTGGTATTGGCGTCGAGTGATTCGTTGTCACCTGTATCTTGTTGACGCTTTCTCCACTGATATTCTTTTCTTTGTGTTTCCTTTTGTTGTTTTTCTTTACCATGGTATGCGGGCGTAACTATAATTTTCATCATACCTCATGCTACTAAGCTGTCAAGGTAGAGTCCTTTCAATAAAGAAGAAAATGTAGAGGACCTCGTTCACGAGCCTCTCCCAATACTTCTGCTCAAAACTAGCAAACAAATGTATTTTCATCTTCGCAAACACTGACCACATTAGTTATTCAGATAAGTCAGCATATGGAATGGAATAGCATCACCCTTTTCATGTGGGATCATCTGTTGGTCTTAAATACCTTTCATGAATCTCTATTTTTCTTTTTATCAAGCCAAAACTTGCGGTAACTAATACAGATATGATTTGAGGATGTAAGAATAAAGTAAGGAGAAATGATGTAGCAATCTAACTATGGGTGCTGCTTAAGGTTGAAAACTTCCAAGAAATATTTTAGATTTCTTATATTCATACTATATTGTAAATAATCCTGCTTGCATGCTTAACGATATCTAGGAATATTTTGATCATATTTTGTGCTTATATATATATGTCCATTTTGGTACAGGCTGTTTGGTTTACCAACATTCTTTCCATTATAAATATTTTTAGTTACCGTATTGAAGGCAGGGAAATTTAAACTTCTTTTATTCTCCTTCTGTTGCGGCCTCTATCTTCTGCAAGAGTAAGTGGGGTAAGCCTGTGTCATTGGTTATGACACGAATTGTATATCCTTATATGGAAACTGTTTTTTTTTTTTTTGGTTCTTCCTTGAAAAGCCAGGCTCTTATCATGAAAACCGTATACCTGTCACATAGTATTGACTTATTGATTACGTCTTATTGATTACGTCCCGTAATGAATGATTACATGAGGTAAGAACTAAACAACTTTTATGTCCCTTCACATTTTATTGCCACTTCCTAACTACCTTATCTACAGCTCAAAACTTGAAAGAGATGTATTTCCATCTTTGCAAACATTATAATGCGCATCATATGTTCCCTTGCTCCGCCCATATTGCTTGCTGTAGGCGGAATGAAATACCTGTCAACTCCGGCTTTATGCATATCGTTGTGAATGACACCGTGTTTCATGTTTACAAGTGCCTGCTGTAGTTCTTTGTGAGTGTCCTTGAAGTTAGTTCCATTATTGCTCCACAGTTCTGCAACGTTCCCACGATGCGCAATAAAACGTCGTAAAACATTGATAAATGCATCGGTTTCAAGCTTATGCAAGATTGAGTCACTCTGTACCTCTGAGAAAAAAACTTGCAAATCGCTATGCCTGTGCTCCTGGGGTCTATAAGTCGAAAGCTTCGAAAATAGTCAGCACAGCGATCAATATTTGCAATGGCGATTGCACCCATCTGCTATCTCGAAGCCTTAGCAAATGCAACGCAATTATAGCCTCAAACGCTACTTAAGCCTCGGTCACAACCGGACGCAGGGATTTTAGGACCTTACGTCCCCTACGAATTTTGGGTGCAGTGCAGGACGTGGAGTTCGTAGAGGTAGAGGAAAGGTTTCAATGTAACTTTAGGCGCAAGTCTGCCTTGCGAGTCGGATGGGCCACTTGAGATGTCCTTTCAAGCCGGGACGCTAACTGCAAGGTGCGATGGCTGTGGAAATTGTACTCATTTCTTGACTTTGTTTTGCTACCTGCATACGTGGCACGCACTAACCACTTACGAATAGAATGCAACGTACGGCGAAAGTAGTTCCCTTTTGCGTCATTTTTGCTTCACACTTGCCTCACACACTTATGATAACGTGTTGATGGCGTACGTCAGTTTTGCCTCCTGTTTTCCCCTTCTTTCTTCTACCTCCCCCTTCTTTTCTCCTAGCTTCTTTCTCTTGTCTTTTGGAGGCATATTAAAAGTAGAATTGAGTGAAATTTGAATTTTTTGTAAATTGCTGTACCCGTTGCACAATCGACGTTTATTGTCGAGACACGAGAGTGCGTCATGTGCACACCTTTTATACTTCAGGGGTGAGGGTGACGCACGTACGACGCATTTAAGTTGTGCTTTCGACTTTGTTCGTCAGCTGTGAGGGCGTGCGCCGTACCCAGCACGCAAAGGACACTAGCTCCTTCATTGTTTGCGACGTGCGTCTTGGACCGCGCACTTCTCACTTGCGAAGTCCTTGCGACTGGAGCAAGTTACGCTTGTTTGCAGGCTATTCGTAGACTCTTTTGGACATGTCCAATGTCCTCCGTACGTGCTTACGAGCTGTCTGCAAACTCGAAATTTCGCAAAATTTTGCCGCAAACAGCCCGTAAGAGCCCGTGCGGCCGGTTGTGACAGAACTTGCCGCATAAAGTGAAAACATCATAACACAATTACACGTAATATAATTTCATTTCATTTTCATTTTGAACTTGATTTAGTTTCCTGATTGTCATATCCAGGAGGTAAATGACCTGGCCATTGAAGATTCTAAGGAAATAAAAAAAATTGAAACATACTCGTATACTGAAATTTTCTTTTTTTTTTTCATTTTTAATGCATTTTACTTTGTAATGTATTTAATTACAAATTATATTCAAGAATTTTCAGCCGGGGATGATCTTAATTGTATGTCAGTTTTGGCTAAAGTAATATTCATAACTTGCTGGGGCAGGTGCTTCTCCTGCCCTCAGAATAGACAGAACAAGTTGGCCAACGAGTGTATTGGAACCTTGTTATCTGCTTTAATTTTAAAGGCAAAAAGTTTCCAAAAAACCTTTTAAAAAGTTCAGTGCATATTCATGAGGCTGAATGAACATTTCCCAGGAACAGTGCTTTAAGGACATGAATTTTAAATGTTTAGTTTGTTTTATCACACATTTCAATATTTTGCACTTTTAAAAACAGAAATGTAAAATTTAAATAGATTAGGGATATTTATTTTAAATTATAATTGGAAGGGTCTTATTTTAATTTGTTTAATATGTAAGAGACAAAAATAGTACTAGTACATAGAAATAAATCTTGAGCAGTAAAATAAGAGAACAAGGCAGAAGTGTAGATCTTAATATAATGATTAAACCGGTGTTGAATGATTTTTTTATCAAAACCCTTTCAGGCTTTAAAAAGTACAACCTGGTCAAGGCCAGACTTCTTTGTAAATATTTATTCAATTAAAAAATCTTGTTTTATTTATAACTAGATCTAGCAATATCTTTCTATATTGGTCAAAATTCACACTGGATTTCTTGTGGATTGGATCATAACCATTATGCCATTTTTGATGTTTTAAGAATGAAGCAAATAACTCTTGGAATATTTCTGATGTTAGATGTACAGCACTTGTTCGTATTTTAATTTTATTGTGACTTGTTTGCTCTGATATTCAGAATATTTAAGAAAACTCGTCGTCTTGCTAAGTCTGAAGTGTGTAAATCAGCATCTTATGCACTATGGCGCATTGGAAAAATAAGAAAAGTGTTAGATAACAAAACCACTGAAAAATTAGTACATGCATTTATATCATCAATATTAGATTACTGCAATAGTCTCCTCTTGGTATTTGTGACAATCAGATTAAAAAGTTACAAGTTATTCAAAACTCAGCTGCAAGACTGGTTTGTCAAATTAAGTACAATAGTACACACCATATCACTCCCATTCTGAAGAATTACACTGGCTGCCTGTGAAGCAGAGGATTGATTTTAAAGTACTTTGTATTATTTTTAATGCGATNCACTATGGCGCATTGGAAAAATAAGGAAAGTGTTAGATAACAAAACCACTGAAAAATTAGTACATGCATTTATATCATCAAGATTAGATTACTGCAATAGTCTCCTCTTTGGTATTTGTGACTATCAGATTAAAAAGTTACAAGTTATTCAAAACTCAGCTGCAAGACTGGTTTGTCAAATTAAGTACAATAGTACACACCATATCACTCCCATTCTGAAAGAATTACACTGGCTGCCTGTGAAGCAGAGGATTGATTTTAAAGTACTCTGTATTATTTTTAAGGCGATCCATTCACAAGGACCATTATATTTATCTGATCTTATCTGTTTTAACTTACCACGGCGGTCCACACGTTTTAATACTGAGAATGATTTTATTTTAGAACATTCTGTTTTAGAGAAGGGGTGCCTAAAAAGTTATGGAGATCGTGCTTTTATAATCTACGCCCCAAGAGTGTGGAATGGTCTACCAAATTTTATTAGGAAAACAGAAGACTTTGACAATTTTAAATCTCTTTTAAAGACCCACTTTTTTAATTCTGTCTATATCTCTTAGATTTTGTTTTAATATATATATGTTTTTTTTTTTTTTTAATAGGATTGATTTTTAGTAGTGTAAATTTTAAATGGTTTCCAATGAGAGTTTATGATTAAAATATTGTAGTCATTTTAATGATTTTAGTATATTAGCCATTATTGTAAGGCGCCTTGAGATAGAATGTAAGGCGCCATATAAGAATCTTATTATTATTATATTATTATTATTCTAATTCATCACCTACATGTATAGATTATCATCATACATTCCATATATAACTTCTTATAAATTAACTTATTGATCTTATGCTACATGTAAACATTGAAATCATGTATATTTATTTATATACTTGTTTGTACTGTTGTAGTTAGATGTAATTGTCTTTAATTGTACTTTATTTATGAAGGTGTATCAATAAAGAATCCAACTCAGCGATAAGGAAATATGTTGGATCAACGATTTCAGTTACCTAGTTTGTATGTAATATAATGTAAAAGGTAATGATTCCTTTTTTTTTTCAATTGAAATATCATTTTAATTTCCTTACATGTATGATTCCATGAGAAGAAGAGGAAATTAATGCAGTTAAGATGACTAGGTAGACTGAAAAGTCTTCTTTTGTTTTGATACATATTGACCAAGTCCAATGAAAATTGTGAGAGAAAATAACCCTTTTAAATTGTTTTTTAAATGCCCCTACAAGCTGGGTTTGTATTTTTAATTGTCTTATAAAAATGGCTTAGACAAGAATCTGAAATTTTATATCTGTTATTAGAAAATAAGTGCAAAAATAGCTGTTACAGGCAAAAATTTAGCATTCATATCAAAATGTGTGGCCTCAGTTGCTGAAAGCAATTAATATGTCCTTCAAAAAATGATGGAGCAGAAAATTAAAACAATTAGTAGTAGGTACAAGTCGAAAGATCCTGCAAATAAGTCCACCACTGGGCATACACCATGTGTTGTTTTGGAGGCTCATATGCTATTGATTATCATAAGCAAATAAAGACCTGTCCACTAGATGTCTCCCCAAGCATTATTTATTGATTCCCTTGTGTTATGACTAGCACTAATATTGTCATTAAGCTCACCCATTGATTACTCCTCCATTTTTACTATACTTTTCCCTGCAACCAAGCCAGTTGTTTCCGTGTGATCTTGATGAATTATCCAGGTAAACTCTGGAGAAAGAAGGCAAACATATGGCAAGAAAACCATAGGAGCCTGGAGTACTTGTGAATAACATTAGCATGTGGAATGAGCTGAAATTACATTGGTAGCTCATGAAAGTTGCACTTTTGTTCTTGGTGTTATACAATCATAATGCAGGTTGGATTGTGATACTGTTGAATGACTGTTTCTTTGTTCTGTTTACAGCTTAAAAACTTGCCAAGGTGTTGAAATGGTTTGATTTAAGGAAAAGAAGAGAAGAGATACAGTGACATACACCTTTTATGTGAGTATGAACATGTTACATATTTGTATCGGTCAGACTAAGTTTCTTTTTATGTTCAATGTATAAGCAATCAATCATGTTGTATGATCATTTACTCTGTCAAAATCAAGATAACAAATATGGGATGTTGTGATTATAAACTTTTAGTAAATTTTATTAAATTCTGGTGAAGAAAAAAACAGCTGGTTCCATTACCGTGCCATTTCCATAAGTCTTTTTAACCTTAAATATACATGATAGAGATTTCTTCCTGTGTGACTCATTAGTTATTGGCGTACTGTACAGCTGATAAAGACTTGTAGTTTTCTTAGGTATGAATTTTCAGTTTCATTTGACAGCGTTTGTTGTATAAAAATTGTTAGCTATTGAAGTCATTTTACAAAAAGGGGTCAAATGTTTGATAAGTACTTGAAATAAACATGTTGGTAACTGGTCCATGTATTGTTGATAAGATGACATTTTCTGATATTACTGCCTCTTGAAAGAAAAGCATTATTTCATGCTGCAAGGATGAATTTCTTATTAACATTAATGCAATGCCTGCTGCTGTTACCAGCAACTGAACTATTCATGCACTTATTGGAAACAGCATGTTATCTTATATTTGAGGCTGAACTACTTGTGGCTCAATTAATCCACGCTGTCAGGGAGTTGTCTGGAGGCCTGCTTAGACTGGGTTATTGTAGAAATTGACCCATTTTAGGTCATTATAAGAAGACCAAGGGCCAGTACCATTTAGCCATTATTCTTTTATATATTAATATTAAACCAGCCTGTGTTTGAAATTAAGATTTAATAAATAACCTCATAAAATAAGTTGCTGATAGGGTTTGTAAAAACCTATCCCAAGTTATTGTGAGACCTAGTTGTTGCTTGATATGGGCTAGACCTGCTTCTGGTTTCTAAGTATTTCTTTTTGAAGCCTTGAGAGGGTCCCATATATCATGTACAGATCAGGTTTAAATTGAGCATTTATCCTTGGGCATTTCTTTATTATCATACTATCCCAATTAAGGTTTTATCTTTAAAGATTGAATTTAATATTGTATGGGTTTTGTTGTTGGGCAGCAAAACTGAATGTACACTGCAACTACTGCAGTATAATTTTTGCACTTTGGCTAGCATAAGTCAATTGCTAATTAAAAAAAAATCTTTGTCTTAAAGAATTAATCTAACTAACACTCAATAGGAATGTTCTGATTTAAAGAAATTATGACTTAAAAAATACAGTAATCTTTAATATTCACAATTTCCCCCATTGAAAAGATTGAGTAATTACCATATTAATACATGATTGTCACTTCTGCATTAAACACATGTGCTTTATACATTTTCAACTTATGATTAATTTTAGAAGTGTTTTTCTAATGTAGATTTCATGGCAAAGAGAAGTTTTGGACATTTTGATAACTATATGTTGGCACCTCCAAATCAATTATCTAGAATGACATATTTTAATATTTTCAAATTATTTAAAGGAGTTCCATGCATTTGCCTCAAAGGAAACAATTTCCAGATACGATGTTAATGACGGATGTTTGATTCATCCCCAGTGTTTTATTTTCCAGAATTTTGAGCTTTTGCAGCAATTTGTTGTAAAACCCCTTTCTCCAGTGCAAATAGATAAACAGATCACATGATTTTAAGCTGACATGATAAAAATTCCTTGCATAGTGATGCAACTAAGTTTTTACAAATCAAGCAAGTAAATGTCTGTCTGAACATACTAGAACTTTTATGTGATAATCATCGTCTTTCCTTCGTATTACACATTTCAAATGAAGTTACAAGGACAGATGGTGGGTTGTTTGAGAAATGATAGAAAAATCAATATGGGTTAGAAATATGCAGGAAATTGAGCTTGTAGAACAAACTTAAGGAGAGTGCCTTTAGTCTCCTTATCTCAACACTTTTGAACACATATATGAAAGGATTTCATGGGATTAATTAGTGGATTACATTTGATGAGATATTTATGTATATTAGGGTTAGTTTACTTATATAAAAGGATTTTTGGTGGGCAGTAAGGAAATCATACACTTCTACAGCAATCACTTGCCTATGAAACAAAATGATATTGTAGAATTGAATTACTATATTTTATGGTGTAAACATGCAACATTGTAGTCATTTATCCAGCATTGTTTGTATAATTTGCACATATATATATTTATTTGTTTGCAGTGTGGTATAGAACATCATAAACCCAGTCATGTCAGTTCCACAACTCCACAGCACTGATGTAGTGGCTGCTAACTTGACTTGTGACCGTTACTACTCATGGGATGAGTTTCACAACAAAACAAAATTAATCACTATATATGGAGGATATGAAGGCATCCCAGAAAACTTGCTTATCAACTTTATAGTGTGGTTGGTAAGTTTGAACATGCGTGCCTTTAATAGATATAATTTCATTACTATTATATGAATATGAAATAATTAAATGAATCAGAAACATATATGATATATAATTTAGTCTAGTGCTTACCACCAGGCTTGATGTATAATAGACCAGTAAAGATATAAATGCCGTTCTCTGCTTTTGTACATATACAGTACCTATAATAGTTGATGGGTTAATTTTACTGGCTTTGGGTGCAAATTGAGTTTTTATTATTATTATTATTATTATTATTTTCATGAGTAGCATCATATATTGGATAATATGATATTTTCAGCTACTACTGATACTGTTTGCTATCTTAAGAAAGAAAGCTTGGNAAAAAAAAATCTTTGTCTTAAAGAATTAATCTAACTAACACTCAATAGGAATGTTCTGATTTAAAGAAATTATGACTTAAAAAATACAGTAATCTTTAATATTCACAATTTCCCCCATTGAAAAGATTGAGTAATTACCATATTAATACATGATTGTCACTTCTGCATTAAACACATGTGCTTTATACATTTTCAACTTATGATTAATTTTAGAAGTGTTTTTCTAATGTAGATTTCATGGCAAAGAGAAGTTTTGGACATTTTGATAACTATATGTTGGCACCTCCAAATCAATTATCTAGAATGACATATTTTAATATTTTCAAATTATTTAAAGGAGTTCCATGCATTTGCCTCAAAGGAAACAATTTCCAGATACGATGTTAATGACGGATGTTTGATTCATCCCCAGTGTTTTATTTTCCAGAATTTTGAGCTTTTGCAGCAATTTGTTGTTAAACCCCTTTTCTCCAGTGCAAATAGATAAACAGATCACATGATTTTAAGCTGACATGATAAAAATTCCTTGCATAGTGATGCAACTAAGTTTTTACAAATCAAGCAAGTAAATGTCTGTCTGAACATACTAGAACTTTTATGTGATAATCATCGTCTTTCCTTCGTATTACACATTTCAAATGAAGTTACAAGGACAGATGGTGGGTTGTTTGAGAAATGATAGAAAAATCAATATGGGTTAGAAATATGCAGGAAATTGAGCTTGTAGAACAAACTTAATGAGAGTGCCTTTAGTCTCCTTATCTCAACACTTTTGAACACATATATGAAAGGATTTCATGGGATTAATTAGTGGATTACATTTGATGAGAAATATTTATGTATATTAGGGTTAGTTTACTTATATAAAAGGATTTTTGGTGGGCAGTAAGGAAATCATACACTTCTACAGCAATCACTTGCCTATGAAACAAAATGATATTGTAGAATTGAATTACTATATTTTATGGTGTAAACATGCAACATTGTAGTCATTTATCCAGCATTGTTTGTATAATTTGCACATATATATATTTATTTGTTTGCAGTGTGGTATAGAACATCATAAACCCAGTCATGTCAGTTCCACAACTCCACAGCACTGATGTAGTGGCTGCTAACTTGACTTGTGACCGTTACTACTCATGGGATGAGTTTCACAACAAAACAAAATTAATCACTATATATGGAGGATATGAAGGCATCCCAGAAAACTTGCTTATCAACTTTATAGTGTGGTTGGTAAGTTTGAACATGCGTACCTTTAATAGATATAATTTCATTACTATTATATGAATATGAAATAATTAAATGAATCAGAAACATATATGATATATAATTTAGTCTAGTGCTTACCACCAGGCTTGATGTATAATAGACCAGTAAAGATATAAATGCCGTTCTCTGCTTTTGTACATATACAGTACCTATAATAGTTGATGGGTTAATTTTACTGGCTTTGGGTGCAAATTGAGTTTTTATTATTATTATTATTATTATTATTTTCATGAGTAGCATCATATATTGGATAATATGATATTTTCAGCTACTACTGATACTGTTTGCTATCTTAAGAAAGAAAGCTTGGGACTATGGAAGAATAGCACTAGTAAGCAGGAGAGCAGAAAGGTGAGACTTAGTTTAGTTAGTATTCATGCAAGGTTTTGTTTTTGTCCTTTTTTACTTGTTTTATATACATTTAGTGGCTACTAACTTGACTTATATGTTGTCCTTCACCTATAATGTTGTTAACCTGACATATTTAGACAAAGGAACATTTAAAAAAACAAATTAAAAAAACAAACTATCTACTGGAAAATTTTACCATGAGCAAATGAATACAATTTATATGTAACAATATGTTGTAAAATTAACTTTGTGGTAATGTGAAGCCTGTATGATATCTGACTTGATGAGTGGACTGTTTTCTAAATGCTTTGCATTAAATTGTTAGCACATATTCCAGTTTAAAAACGAAAATTGATTCCTCTAAAAAATTTACAGCACTTCAGGACATAAAAAAAATATTGTAACCTGAGCATGGGTAATATCAAAACGCATTATACCAGTTAAAACAAAGCACTTTTGTAACAGAAATAATTAAGTCATCATATTGTATACAGACACTGAGCATGTGGGGACTGTTCTGTTGAGAATTGCTGGGGAAATTAGATAACACTGTTGGCTAACTTGAACCTCTTAACGTTTGGATGAACTTCAGTCGGTAAATACAGCTCAGTCTCTAGCAGATTATTACTCTATTATTTTCATCTCCACAATTTTTTTTTACTGCTTATGTGGACTGAGATTGTTATATGCCTGTTTTGTCTGTTCTTATTCATGTCTTAGCAGTGTGGGTATCACTATGCTAGATATATTAGCACGTGTATCCATGGAGACCAAGTTCCATATTTGCCAGAAACGAAAATTATGCCCACTTGGGATTATAGGAAGTTGTGGGATGAAACTACTGTTGAAATAATCCAATGAATCTGTCGTTTCAGTTCAGTTTGAGAAGTCTAACAATCTTGCTTAACAAACCATCTGGGAATAACCTACTTAGGGGAGTTCATGTTGATGTATTTCTGCGAAATGTATCCCAGATTTTTTTCTGAAACACAAACAAAAATGGTTTTGGAGTAAATATGTTAAGGACATTTTTGGTATGAATGCCAGTTGCTACATGTATTTTGTGATTTTTTTTGCAGTTATAATATATATTTTTATATCATAGTTCAGGACAGGCATCAAGTTTTAGAGGCTACAGAAGTGAGATTTGAATTTCCTGGGATTCCACCCAATTTCGTCACTTCAGGGGCAACATGACTTTAGCTTTTAACATAGTTTTCTGCTTTGTTTTTGGATGAAGTCACCGAAGTACGGTGTAGCAGAAAAAAGTTCATTTTTTGGTTCCCTGTGGACAAGTTCAAACAGCTTGTAGGCAAAACCGGATTATGATGTCATCCTAATATCTTGTAATGTGTTAAGCAAAAAGTAAAGAAACCTTAATTCTGAAACTTTGGCCTTTCATAAACAACAGTTTGGCTCTGTTTTCTGTGTAGTGTATCCAAAACTGTAGAGATAGTGCCGTCCTGTCCAAATGAACTTGTAAACAAGACTGCGAGGTGTTCCCAGGTAGTGGGTAAGTTGCACAATAAAGTTGCAGTATTCACTCTGTATTTGCGCATATGCAAATGAGACTAAGGTAGCCTATGAGCAATCAGAAGAAGTACTAAAGGAAGTCTGTCACACAAATTGTCACTGTCACATTCTGATTGAATTGGAACCTCACATTTACTACCTAGATTTTCAGTTGTAAATTAAAAATTTTTCAAAAAAAAAAAAAAAAAAAAAAAAACATTATTAAAGTGGAGACAAATTAACTAATTATAGTACTCTTTGACATATTTTCAGCAGTTAGAGATACTAACTCTGACTGTGAAAATGTTTTTGGTTTCTTTTATAAAAAGATGTTTCTGATATGGCAGATGTTAAAAGACACATTATTTAGGTACCTTGTGAGTATGTCTTGGCCAGAAATGCAGTAATAGAGTACTTCCCAAAATTTGTTTAACTGAAATGGACTGTACGCAGACATATGATAGTGATGAATGTTAAGCATATTGAAATTGTTAGGTCATTGTCCACTCATCTGGTTATGGATTCTATTAACCCAGTAGACCTATGACTGACTGGCTGATTTTCTGGTTTCTTAGTCTGATCGATGTGCTCAGAGGCCTCTGTGTGATTGATAGTTGGTTATGTTGCCACTGTAGTAGTGGAGAAATTGGACTTGAAGCAGGTGATCCACATAAACAGTACTTGAACAAATGTAATTATCCATTTTAGTACAAGCATGACTGTATCCCAGCGAGACCTATTTCCACATGGTCACTATTGATTTTTGATAGAAATTCCATCAATGCATGTTAAATCTTTGAACATGTGTATTTTATTCAGCAATTGTTGAAGATTTCACCGGTGCTAGTAGGACTTGCAACATCCAATAGGAGAAAAATGTTTTTGTACAGTTTTGCCTATTGTGAAGATATGATTGAATTCCAGAATGCAGTTTTACTAATGAACTCCCATATTTTTGATATAATTTTATGATAAAAAAGAAAATTGAGAATGATGATGAATATGATGAAAGTGTGTGTGCTCATTGTTTTGGATATTTTTGCTTTAGTTTTGAGTTTGGTGTTACAGTGTAGTATATTTGTACATTGGTTATTTTAATAACTTAATTTTTGTGCTACAATTTGATATTTTAAGTTTTCTCTTCATAATTTAATTTAGATTTAAAAGTACATTTTTGTTATTGTCTTCTATGATAGTGAATATTCTCTTTTTATTTCATTTTATTTGATTCTGTTTATTTTCTAGGAGATCCTTGAATGATTCCAGATACAATGTGTATGCACATTTACTGTATTTCATTTTAATAGTAATTTTTGTATTTCTGATTGTTTGGGTTTGGCTGAAGTGCTTGGCACATACAATGCACAAATTTACAGATATATTGGTTTGATAATTGGTGCTTAGCTTTGCATAAAACTAATGATGCTTGAGTCCGAAAATACCTATTTAAGGGTAGATAAGAATAGTGGCATATAATAGTTAAGTTGGATGATGGAAAGTGTGGTGATTGCCTTGGCATTGGCATGGGGAAATGTGTTGTTATAATTAATTTGCAAATTAAAGGTGCATGTTTAGGGTTTTCACATGAAAAATCCATACTTAACAATATTTCCTGGGGTAAATCAAAATTTCCTTAACCCTAGCTTAAGTGATGGATTTTAAAATTTTGCCACCCCTCCCTCAATTTTCCCCACAGTTCTCTCTCCCATCCCTCAATTCTTGCACTGACTTCTGGATTCCACACAATTTCAAACTGGCAAGAAGATTGACTGGTAGGGAGGTTTGTCAGGTGGTGAATTGGTTTGTGACATTAATTCATGGTATTTATGGGTAAAAATATTATCAGAAAGTATTTCTTGTCATCAGTTTAGTTCAGCAAGAAGTGGTGTTTATGTGTTTAAATTCGTACACTTTGTCACTTTAACTTTGTAGGAAACCAGTTCTTTCTTGTGTTGTTTTGCTGTGCTGTTTTTACAGTGTGGAATTTTCAGAACAATTACTCCCATACTAGGCTTAATAACCAGACTCTAGCACTCTTTTTTATATTGGGAAAATGGCTAAAATGTGTGCAAGAGCCATGTTGCTCTTTTGAATGTCAACTCCACCTTTCCCTTAACCTCTTATGTGCATGTTTTGTACACTGATAAAAACTGATTTTTGCCAACAAATTTTATACAAATTTCTCTCTGAGATAAAAATATGTCTCAATTTACTTTATTTAATATTCAGAACCCTGGCTGCTATTTAGCCCTATTGTATGAATAAGAGCCCAATTTGAGTTAATTCCGATTAGTGTCCTTTCCATCATCTTGATCAGCAAATATACAAGGACATTGCAATACTACTGCTGTTGAAGTGCTACCAAAAATTTGGTTGATCAATCTCTACATGTATGTCTTCTGGGGTGTGGTTGAATGTAGAATGAACGTAGTGGGGGCTTGTGCCTTTTCAGCTTGGCTTAGCACCATGTTTGTAGCTGTAATTAAAAATGGTCAATGATAACAATGTTTAATTGAAGGCAAATGTAATTTATTTGTTTAGCATTTTTTGAATTTCAGATTTTTTGTTTAATTATTTTTTCTTGTAACATGCTCACTCAGTACCTTAATTCCTTTTTTTATTCTTGTATTTTACCAGGTAGTAGGATTCTTTTCATTTTCTATATGGTTTTGCAAGTATATATTGGTATTTTCTTGGATTTTCAAGAAGGCTTTTATATTAATGTTGTGATATAAGTAGAATGCATATATTGAAAATGTTATATACATTTATGGAATATACATATGAAGTTGTATAATATTTAAAGGTGGACCTCCCTGTTCTATGGTGATCACGATGAGAAGTCAGTCAATGCTGCTTTGGGTTCAGTGGAGTCATTGGACAAGCACATTGACCATCATGATACAGTAAGTGCTGTTGTCTCTCTGTTATCTTATTCTTCTTTCCTCAGTCACAGTCTCTCCATCTCGCTCTCTCTCTCCCTCTGTGGTGGCCTGTTTTTTTTTTTTTTTTTGTTATATATGTATTATATACTTGTAGTTTGAATAATGTGTCTCTGTATTTTTTACATCTTTTAAATAAATGTTAAGTGTTTAGTTTTATGATATTTTCAGTGCAATTTGTATAACAATGAAACTGTAGCACAAAATTATTTGCCAGTTTCATCTAAAAGTAGCCTTTCCTTACAATAAATGTATCTACCCTTTATAGGAAAGGTCATTAATGACTGGTATATTGATAGAAATGAAAATTCAATATGATTATCAAGATTGCAGGACGTGTTTTATGGCAAAGCCGATGAACTTTAGATTAGTGATGATTAATGCATGTAATTTTACACTGGTGCATATGTAATGAAGTCAGTCAGTTGGTCAGAGAATGCCAACAAGTACGAAGAAGTGATAATTGTAAGCAAGAGAGATAACTTAAGCAGAAGCAGTTGATTGGACACTTGCAAATATTATTGATTTCTTGAATTTTGATACAATTTGAGTAATTATGGGTCCTGGCATGAATGTTATTATCTAAGTGCATGGGTGACTAAAATGAGGAGATTTAATGGCGAGTATTTATATTCTTAAAATGCACTGTTGAACAAAGGCTGGTTTCATAAAGCCATCTAAGCACCCATATGTAATTAAAAATGAGCAACTTATCACTTCAGAAAAGAAAGTTTTACTTTTAATTACAATGTCATAGTGGTGATTTCATCACCAAACTTTATTTAAGAAACTTCCACATTTAAATCAAATTAAATCAACATTTAGTAAAGATCGTTCAAATGCCTTCGTTATAATGATATTACTAAATGATATATAGTAAAGATCGTTCTAATGCCTTCGATATAATGATATTACATGAATCTGTTTATGCATTTTATTCATTGGAAAGAACTGTTACCAAGTTTTAAGGGGATGTTTTCCATTTTAAAAGGATTGAATAACTTTATTTATGGCTTCATCTAGTTAAAGTTTAAGTCAATCTCAGTTTAATTATATTAAAGGTCTCTAGTTTCAGTTATATGTCTTAATTCTGTTTATTGGCTTCAATGGGACCATTCAGATTGAGAAGAGCTGAGTGCTAGCTAGGCCGCAACCTAAATATAGAGGACCTACATAAAAGGAAGACCGCTAAATCCTGTAATGGTCTCTCCGCCTTTCACACGCCTCCCCACACGTCGAATCTCGACCGGTTGAATTAAGCCGAGATTTAATTACTGTGCCACTCCAGGGACGACAAGTGGGGAGGCGTGTTTATTATTTTTGTTACATTTCTCTGTTCTTACATTCTGTACATGGTTTACGAAAAAAAAAAAATGACTGTCTGTCTGATAGCTAATGACTTCTCATTTTGGGGTTTATTGGCTACATAAAATTTCCATTAAACATGCATAGCAAACTTTCTGAACAACACTGTAAAAACAATTGTTGACTGAGATGGCTTTGTGAAACTGACTCCAGATCATCAAGCTAGGATTCATATCCTCCCTTGGCCATAATTGAACCCATGGGTGTCAGGGATCTTTGTTAATAATATATTAACCATAATACGTCTGTTTGTCTAAGATGTTCATGTTGTAGGGAAGTTTATGGATGGGGAGGTAATAATCAGGGATGTAAGGACCAGAAACACTTACTGAACTATCATTTATCACTTTTTTGCAGGGATTTTGTTCATGGTTGCCTGCATTCTTCAAAATAAAGTAAGTAGCAGTCTCCATTTTTGTTGCCCTTTTAATGTTATGGTTCTAGTACTGATATTTGTGTTTCTCTATCAGACCTAGGACGTTAAGTGGATTATCATGTCACAGACATACACAACACATTTTCTCAAATAATAATATTTTAACAGACTTACAAAAAAAAAAGCATCAGTGATATTACCAGTCATTTGACTGCTAAAGTTCTTAATATTATGAATCCAGATAAGTGAGTACATTTTCAAAATCCACACTCAAACCTAACACACTGGAAGTAATAATGGGTTATTTCGCTAAAATATTATCCCACACATTTCTCTGTGAAAATCAATCTCTGATACACTGTCACAGTTACCTCGTTCTCAATTATTTTCAGGGACAGTCATATCCTCCATAAGTGTGGTCCAGATGCTGTCCAGTATTTGTCCTTCCAGCGCTACTTACTGGTCTACCTGGCACTGATATGTGTGCTCTCTGTGGCCGTCATATTACCTGTCAATTTTCAGGGAGATCAAGGTGAGAGATTTAAATTAAGGTTATCACTCTGAAAAAAAAACTGCTCTTGAGGGATTAAATGTCACTTTGGTTTAAGTCCTCGGGTGTGAGCATGCATTCATAATATTTGTCATGCTGTGTGCTGTTTTATTACATCTGCTACTCTGTTCATCTTTATTATTCTAGAACAAGACCAGCAGCAGTTTGGTCATACGACCATAAGTAACCTGAAACTAGAGTAAGTACTTGTTGTATTGAATGTAGAATATTATACTTGTTGAATACTGTATGCTTATAAGCTGGAAGAAATAATTACCATTTTTTGTTGTTTAATTTTTTTTTTACTGAAAACATCTTCTTCTGGGGGTGTATTATTTCTCAGTTAACATTTTACATTCAATTTGGTGCAATTTTTCTCCTGTATAACACATACATACATACCTGTATATAGTTTCAATGAACATATGTATTAACATACAGAACATAAGAAAGTATATTTATGGCTGAATGGTTTGATATTATAACACTTCCAGCTCTACTACATTGTGGGTCCACGCTGTATTCTCAGTGGTGTTCATAGGCCTGGCTGTCTACTTCATGAGGCATTTCTCCAGCAGCCTCAGCTTTGAGGAAGATGATGAGGTAAGGGTCCTGATATTCAGGGGCCTCTAAAAGGGGATACAAAATTAAATTATTGGCCCCTGTGGAACTCACCCAATCAACTCTTCTGCAATTTTGAAACAAACCCGCCCCTACCCGCCCCTTAAACGGTGGCTCAGCAGCAGAGGAGGATAATTGTGAGGTTGAGTGTAATCATTCAGCTGGGTATCTGGAGTAAGTCTAAGTCCCATTGATCACCTTAATTTCCACAGGGTCATATACAATAGTTTTGTAACAGACTACTAGCGGACCCTGTGGTGAGAGAGTAAGGTGAGGGGAGTAGCAGATTTCTAGATGAATAATCGAAAAGTGTTTAAATTTTGGATCTATATACTAGTAAACACTTGTTATCTTGTTGTTTAAGAAAAAAACAAATTTCAAAGGTGTGGACAGAGTGCATGGTTTTCTTTCACACTGAGATGTCATACATGTATCAAACATTTTCTTGGAGTCAGAAGCATTTACATTAATAATTGAGAGAGACTGTGACTGGTTATTTTTTATTTCAGGCCACTCGCACCCTGATGATATCCCATATTCCGTTAGATAAATGCTTCAAAAATACATTACAGCAGCATTTCCAGTAAGTGATACAACATTTTACTCAATAAATCATCTTTAAATCACATTCAGAAGTGACAATCCATCTTTTAGCACAATTGATTAAAGCTGAGAGAAAGATACGTTCATTCCTTGCATTTTTATTTTTCTGATAAAGATTTATATTTGAACAGGGGCAGTCATTCCATTGCTAAAAACAGATGTTCAGTGGGTTATGGTCATTAGTAAAGGCTATCAAAAAAAAATAGAGATGAAAATCCCTATAAACATTAAAAGATTAAAAAGATTGGTATGTCATTATGATACATGTATATGCCTTCTGATTACAAATGCTACTTTCAGGGAGGCCTACCCAGAATTCACAGTTCAGGATATTCAGTTTGCTTACAACATCTCAGATCTCATCAACAAAGATAACAGCAGGTAGGCACATGTAATAGTGGAATGGTAAAAATAAATAAATGAAAAAAAAAAAAAAAACATTCCTAAAAAATATCTGCAGTTGGTGCAACAGTGCACTTATATTTTGGCCCATCCGGACTAGCTTTTGGATTTTAACATCTGATAGATATTGCACTGCCAATTATCATGTTGATACAGTAACAGCAAACACATTGTCAGTACTCAACATTATCATGTAAAACATGTCATCCATAGGAAAAAGGCCCATGAGGCACGAGTATTCTCAGAGAATGAGCTGAAGACCACCGGGCAGCGGCCCACTATGGTTCCTTACAAGTGTGGCAGGGTGTGCTGCTGCTGTCACTCCTGTGGTTGTGAGGAGGTAGGTCATATACAGGTTGTCCTGATGTTAGTATAATATTAACATACATACTGTGTGTGTGTGCGCGCGTGTGCATGTGTGTGTGATGGGTTAAAGAATTGGGTTTCTAGGTTAAATTGTTGATGTTATATTTATATACATGTATGGGATAGGTTCTTAATTATTTATGTTACTGGATATGAAAAAAGAACAATAATTTTTATTTCAAAATTTTAAGACTTAGTTTAGAACACCTGGAAATTTTATTTTATATCAGTGAATAATGGTTTGTTTTCTAGCCTTTATTTTTATGTGAACAACATGGCATTTGAAGCAGTTTAGGAATGTGTTTGTTCATCATAAGAACCTTTCATCTGCTTTTTTTGCATCTGCCTTTTCCTCTCAGTATAACATTAGCAGCAGCAGACGGAGGACATCTTCAGGGTCTTTTGAAAGATGATCAGAATTTTTCAAGTTAACATTGACGGATATCTAAATTTTTCTGTCAGAAGACAGTCAAAAATGGGGGCCGGATCAACAAGAATAATTTGGAAGACTGTCAGAACATATCTCTGAAATATATCTGAATTGCAAGAGGCTATAGTGCATATTTTGTAATTGATGGTGCAAGACTGCTCAAATGTAACTTAAACATACATAGATAAGAGTACTTTAGAAGTTTGTAGTTCAAAATCATTATGCATGTCAGTGGTTTTGTTTCTCTGTGTAGGTGGATGCCATTGAGTTTTATAGTCGCAGGGAGCGGGAGCTAACCAACCAAGTTGAGGTAGAAAAAGCCACTTCCTTCCAAAAGGCCCTTGGAATTGCATTTGTCACATTTGAGAATGAATATATGGCTCAAAGGTTTGTTAATACAAAAAAGTTATTATCTGTCAAAAAGAAAGATGTTTAATAATTTATGTAATACTATATAATCTAGCACATATCATTGCATTTTAAGTTGAGGATTGCTGCATGGTTTATAGAATTCCAAGTTAACCTCTGATGTGAATGCTGTTGGTTTTTAAGAAAAAAATTTAATATGTTAAAACATTCCTTCAGAGTCTGTGTAGACTTCAGGACATCGTGCAAGGGCTCTCACAACCCTCACCCCTCTAGTCTGGGCCGAGACTTGGCTCTGGAAGACTGGAATGTATCATATGCACCAGGTCCAGACAATATCTACTGGTGGGTGGCTGTCATGTTTATTTAACAACAAATTAAGCATTCTTTGCAGAAAAGATTCTGTATTTAACGTGTACCCAGGACCCTCCGCTCTAAGCTTTACTGTGTTAGATATTTCTGGGAGTACCAAGTTTGTGGTATCATTGTCCTGTATTTATCTCTAGTTATCAATATGATAAGTTTGGTCACGTGATAACATCTGTACACACATTTTGAAGTCAGTCAAGTTGAAGACTTTGTTTCTACTGTTTAAGAGAGCATCTGGCCACAGTACTGAGCATGCACAGAGATTTAAGAATGAAGAAGCTAGCATGCAACAGATCTGAAGCTCAGGGTATTTTTTTAACCTTGAGGCTTGCTGGGTCTAATCCAATTTAATAAACTGGCTTTAAATATTGTGCATAATATGATGTACTCAGAACCACAACACTGTCTAAATACAATGTCTGTATATGCTAATTCAGGGAGAACCTGTCACTAGACCCCTGGGTGTGGTGGATCAAGTGCATCGTGATTAATGGAGTATTAATAATTCTGCTGTTCTTTCTGTCCACCCCGTCTATTCTGATGGCAGCCTTGGACAATATTAACTTCAAGAAGGCACTGGAAGACTTACATGTAGGTGGTAAATTTTACAGGAGAACCTGGTGTTGCTTTATATGCTGGTTAGGCCACACTTTTTTATTTTTATGGATGACATCCTGCGCGCGCACCGATTTTCGCCCGTTCTCCGAA